TTTTATTTCTATTACTGTAAGTCCCATGTTGCATTTTCCTTAACATCTGGTCCCATACAATACTTCCAAAACTTGTGATGAACATACAGGATACAGTGGATAAATCAGGGGTAGGCAACCTTTCCTCTTTAAGGGCCGAGGGACTTCAGCTCCCAGAATCCCAGGAGCTATTGGTCAACATGGGACTATTGGCCAACATGGCTGAGGCTTCTGGGAGCTGAAGTCCCTCGGCCCTTAAAGGGGAAAGGTTGCCTACCCCTGAGATAAATCATACTGATAATTAACAAAACCATGCCTCAATAACATAATACTAAATAGGTTGGTGGGTGGAATGAAAGTTGGGAATCTGAATAAGGAACCATTGCAAAGTGTCTTAGAAGGATGGTTTTATGCACCTACAGCAGAGTTGAGTGAAAACTTCAGGAATAATGGGAAAGACTGTCCCTGACTGATTCCTCAGTCCAGGTTCCAAAAGGTTACAATTTCATGTCATCCAGGAAGCCACTGTAATGCTGTTCCTAGTGCCTGGAGACAACCCTTTGTTGATTTATGGTTAGAAAATGTGCAGACTGCCTTTCACCAGCTCTGGATCTGTAACTTGCTGCAGCCTTCCAGCATTCCATGAACCAGACCAGAGACCAAATTCTCTCCAAAAGAAGGGTCTTTATTCTTCAGATGCAGAATTAACATGGTAACTATTTACATTGTAGAAAAGCCATTAGAACAGAGAAAACTCCATGCCAAGCCCAGCAAGCCACTCAAGGAAAAACTCCACCCCCACAGTGTTACCTTTATAGACGTTTGCTAAACAACTCTAAACCCAGCCTTCTTCTGTGTGTCATGTGTCATGTGACCCTGGTTCTCACCAAACCCGATGACCTAATCTGTTTATACTCGTTCTTCCATGTTCCCAGACACAGACTGACCTTGGCTATATTGTTTTGTATAATCCACCTGCAGGCTGAAACTTTCACAGTAGAAATTTTCCCACATCTGTACATTTCCACTTTGACTACAAATCCCAACACCCTTGATCCTCTAGTTGGATTGCAATGCCATTTTCTCAGTGACTCTGGGGGAAAATTTCTTATAATTTGAATCCACCAGTTTATATCTTAGCCTCTGAAGCAGGAGAAAATATTTTTCCATCTTCTACCTGACATCCATTCAGTTACTTGACTATGTTATTACCTTAGTTATGTAGCTTAGTAGCATCTCTTGGCCCACCTCCACCCCAAAAGCTGGACTTACAAGGTAGCAGCCTCTGCAAACAGTTCTCCCATCAATTAGGATGCATAAAATTGAGGTTATCACCCCTGCCCTGTGAATGATTTCTCTTTGGGCAGTCAGAAGCAGGGGCCCTGTCAGAAGCAAGGGCCCTGACATAATTCTGAATCACACTAGAGATCAACTGTGACAGTGGGGTCCAAATGTCAGCCTGCTATGGCCCAATCAAGAAGAGAATAGACCCCTTTTGCTCACTGCAGCTGCTGTCTGCTCAGTCGGCTTTGGAGAACTTTTACAATTTCTACACATTCCATGCTCTATTAAATACATAGCGATCAGTCACAAATATGAACTAGTCACAAATGTGTAACTGTGATCATGAATTCGAGCTGGCTGTCATATTGCCTCTCAATCTGTATTTTTGGCCTGTGAGTGGTTCCAAGAAAGAAAGAAAGAAAGATCGAAAGATCAATGTGCCAGAATAGAAAGTGTGGCTGCATTACTACTTTTCCCCTAGCTACTTGTGGAAAGGATGCATTCTTTTTAAAAAACAAAACAAAAAAACTCTAGTTTCCTGACATCTCATTTAATATTAAAGTATGCAATCAATAGTGAAGAAGTAAAATCATGCCAGTGTGCTTTTTTATCATAGGATGGGATGCCACAGGGTTCTAATAATGAAAGCCTGATTATCTTAGATTTAAAGAAACACACTCTGACAATCAGAGAGGGGGGCCATGATACACAACAGGATACAGAAAATGATTGAAATAGTAGAGATGGCTATCATAGTGTTGAAAGTTTCATTAAAAGTTAGACTTTTTTTAGTTCTATCAAAATTTAATAAGTGATAATGTCCTCAACATCATAGAATTTAATTTTGTGGCTTATGGAAGGAATAATTAAAACCTACTGGGCTATCAGTCATTTTATGTTTTATCTGTCTTTCCAAGCTATCATTCATAAAGCAGCAAGGCATTCTTTTGGAAAGCAGCAATGGGGGGGCAGGAGGGCTGAGAGGTTCTTTGCTGCATGTATGCACTTATTAATCTAGAGCCCACTGGGATGAAGAGTGATTAAGAGGGAAGAAAATGAGGTTGGCCTTTGGATAAGCTTCCTCATAGCCAGTGTTCTGGGAGACATTCAAGCTGCATGTTTAAATCAGAAATTTGGTAAATGAGAATTCTGCAAATAAAGTAAAAAAAATCCTAGAGAGTCACATAGGCAAACAAGGAGAAGGCAAATGCAACTGAAAGCATTTTAAAATTTTAACATCTTTATCCTATTTTGTGAGAAAGGCAAGATATAAATCTAATAAATAAAATAAATAAATAGCTGATCATTTTCCTGAACAGGGAAGGAACTCATTTTTCTATGAAAACCAGCATGCTATTGAGTCCGTGTCAATTTATTGCTTGTGACAAAAAAACCATTGCAAAGTGTACATCATCATCATCATCATGCAAGAAATTCACAAGCATACAAAAGATAAAAGGTGTGCATGTGTGTGAGTGAGAGAAATGTCTACAAAAGCTCATGCTGCCAATTTCTTTCTTTCAGTTAGTCTCAAAGGTGATAAGATCTCTCTACGTACTCATATAATACATTCTTCAAAATACATCACTTAAAAAGCCATGATTTAAAATTGACTGAGAAGGCCTACTGGAAGAGAGGTGTCTTTAATGTTGTTTTAAATCTTTCAGCATTTTCAGCTGTCATATCTCTTCCAGCAGGTTATTCCACAGTCTGGGGACAGCAAATGAAAAGGTCATCTGGGAAACTGTTGCTAGTCTAGTCCTGACCAGTTGGAGCGAACATTTCCCAGAGGACCTGAGTGTACAGGGTGGATTGTATGGGAGAAGGCAATCCTTTAGCTAACCTGGATCCAAACCATGTGGGCCTTTAAAGGTAATAACCAACACTTTGTACTTTGCCCAGAAACTAATTGGCAGCCAATGGAGTGATTTTAAGATCGGTGTGAAGTGATAACTCCTGGATATACTTGTAATCAGTCTAGCTGCCATATTCTGAACCAGTTGGTGCTTCCAGATTTGGTTCAAAGTTAGCCCAATGTAGAGTGCATTGCAGAGCCTTGAGATTACCAGTGTGTGCATTACCATCTTTGGGTCTTCCAGTTCTAGGAAGGGATGCAGTTGGTGTATCAGCTGAAGCTGATAATAGGTACTGAATGACATATGTATCTGGGCTGACATTTGGAGGGATGGAACCAGGAGCACTCCCAAACTATGAACGCAGTCTTTCAGGAGGAGTCTTTCAGAGCTGGTTGACACCCCTCCAGCCCCAAATTAGGATCCTTGGTGATAAGCACCTCTGTCTTGCCTGGGCACATGAGAAGGAGTTGCCTTGGCAGATCAATTGAACTGTGCTTGCACAGACAAGAGATAATTGCAACAGCATCAATATCAGCATCAAGTATCTTTCCACTATTCCTACAATCTTTTCTTTGTCAGTAGAGTTCATCACTATACTGAAATGTCCAACAAATGTATCTGAGACAGATCTGTTCAAAATTCCAGATAACATTGAACTATCAATCTCTTCATCAATGTCAATTTTCCCATTTTTGAATAGTGGATGCAACCTATAATGAGGAGTTTACTGAAACAAATCTGAAGTACAAAATCAAGAACTGGATCTAGGGATGGTTTTACTTCCTTCCACATTTTAATTGTTTAAATCTCAAATTATGTCAAATTTGGAAAGAAATTAGATAATTTTTTAAAATTCTTATCAAAAAACACCACAAATGAAATTCTCATCTATCTCTAGTTGAATCCAACAATGCCTTCCAAATGTGTCCTTCCATTCCAAGGAAGGCTATTTTTTACTTTTCACTAGAATGTTGGGGGCGGGGGGAGGAATGAAAGAAATATAAAGATACTGTTCCACCTGGCAACAGTTCAACTTATATAAGCAGAAGTGTGAGAATAACTGCAAAACCATCTTATTCTAGCACTACATGAAATCTTGAGTCTTATTGAAACAGCACATGCCAAAATGGTGGAAGTATTGCCAATTCCTGGAGGCCCATAGAAGAGAAGATGAGGCAATCGATCTTCACTGATGAACTTCTGAATGGTACTCAGAATGCCCTGATGAGAAATCAGATCATTCAGCATCTGAGGCTGGTATTTTTATATCCAAGGCAAATTTTTCTACCCAAGGCAAAACCCTTCCATTTGAGGTTCTCTAGATCCAACCTGTAGCCAGTAAATGATTTCTTACAAGGGGCAATATCTGCAAACTGAAAACTTCTAAAGTGATTGAGAAGGGGGAGGAAGGAGTGGTGCAGTGGTTTGAACATTGGACTATGACTCTAAAGATCAGGGTTTGAAACCCTGCTTGGCCATGGAAACCCACTGGATGGCCTTGGGCACACTCTCTTAGTCCCAGAGGAAGGCAAAAGCAAACCCCTTCTGAACAAATCTTGCCAAGAAAACACCATGATAGGATCACCATCATTTGGAAATGACTTCAGGGCACACAACAATAACAACAACAACAACAACAATGATAGATATATAATAGATAGATAGATAGATAGATAGATAGATAGATAGATAGATAGATAGATAGATAGACAGACTGATCAACAGATCAATACCAGGTCAATAAGGGCAGAAAAAGGTGTCCCTTCACAGGAAAAATATGTAAGCAATTCAATCTCTCTTATATTAAGTATCTGATTTTTTCATTATCCTGATGTCCTTAAAATTCAATCTCTAGGCAAGCAAAAGTAAAAAAAGTGCAAGTGCAAATCACTGTGGAGTGATTCTTCAACTAATATCATTACCAATTATGTTGTGCTATGTATACTATTGTACATAGGGCCTGCAGGGTTAAAGCATTTTTGGAATTGTTGAAATAATCAGTCACCCTACTCAAACATCTTTGATTCATTGAGCTTAGTTGCAATCCTCAGAGTACTTGGAGGAGGTGGATTTTCCCTGTATCAGTATACTGTTGTAAACTATACTTGCAGCAATGCAACAAGTATTTTGGGATGACTTATCCTTACAGAAGACATGCTCTGGCTGGAGATGAAAACTGTTAATAACTGGTTGCTTAAGCTAGAACAAAACTGCTTGCATTTTTGGATTCTTCTTGGAATGTTATTAGGAAAACTATCATGATGCAAGTCTGAACTTCAAAATACCATTCTACCATTGACTGTTGCTGTATCACAACTTAAAACACAATTGCTGGTATCCTTTTAGTTGCATTTTTTAAATGTGTGACTTCAAATCAACTTTAACTTATGGCAACCCTATCATAAGGTTTTCTGGGCAAGATTTATTGTCTCTTAGGCTGAGAAAGCATAATTTGGCCAAGGCTACCCAGTGGGTTTCCATGAGTGAGAAGGGATTCAAATTCTCATCTCCATATACTAACATAATTCCACCTTATTCCTGTGTTACATACCTTCTTTTGTCATTGAGGAGATTGGTATTCAATCCCTCCCTCTCTCTGCAATGTTCAAAGTCCTCCCTCCAGCTCATCATGTTGCTTTGTTGCTTTGTTGATTAGAATTGATCCCAATGCTGGTGAAGAGGGGTCTGTTCTTCCTCTCGCTTGCCTTGATATTTGCTGTGCTTTGGTTACAGGACTCCCCATGGATACCAAAGTCTGTGGATGCTCAAATCCTATTAAATACAATGACATAATAAAATCTCTTCCCTTATATATGATGTTATAATCAATGTTTACTTTTTGGAGGGTTTTT